GAACAGGCAGCGTGAGCTTGTTTGAACAGACTCTCACCTGGACGGAAGGTTACGGCGTCGTACAGGAGTGTGTTCAAATATCGCCTAATTGGTCCCAAAACTATTATTTTATTATTGCAACATATTTTTTTTCCGTTCGTCAATGGCAGACAGCGACAGACAGAGCAGTTAAATCCTCGTCCACTAGGTGGCAGCAACTAAGAAATGATAATCAGAGCTGTCAGAGGGGGTCTTTGCGAGTGTCTTTTTTTCTTCAAATCCTGCCGCCATATGAGCGTTGTTTTCAACTAAACGGGAGTCAAAATTTTGGTCAATTTAATTGATTTAAAATTTTAAAGAAATTAAATTTATATGTAAAAATTAGGATTTGGAACGCTAACCTTTGCCTTTGCATCGCAGAACCACTGTCAGTACAGAGGCGTCGTTCAGGGTGAGGAGGGATCATCGGTCGCCATGGATATCTGCAGTGGCCTCAGGTACACACACACACACGTACACACACACTAACACACACTAATACACACACAAATACACACCAAACTCCGTGTCTCTTCCACCAGAGGAGTGCTCCATCTGTCCGACGACAGCTACGGCATCGAACCCCTGGACTCCGACCCGGAGCGACACCTGGTGTACCGCCTGCGGGACGTGAAGTCACAGCCCAGAGGGTGCGGCACGCCGCATGACAACCGCACTGCCGCAGAGCGCGGAGCGGAGGAGATCCACCACGGTCAGCACAGGAGGGTATGTACACACACACACACACACACACACACGTTCTTGTTTACAGTAAACAAACAAGTCACCTGTCTTGTAGATGAAGCGAGCCATTCTCCATCAGGCCCACTATGTGGAGCTGTTGCTGGTGGTTGACAACAACAAGGTAAGAAACAAGTGGTTCTCAAACTGTGGTACGCGTTACTCTAGAGCGCCCCCTAGTGGTACACGGGGAAATTCATATTTTTACATTTGCATTTTCAATTGAATCAATCTGAGAAATTTGAAACTACAATATCAGGTTGCACTTGCAATACCTCATGTGACCACTAGTGGGCCGTGCACCAGCTGTTGTAACACATTTAAATTTTTTTTTTTTGTTGCAGAAAACATTGAAATTAACAATCGTCTGACCCTGAAATTGTCTCTCATCCAGCAGGGGGCGCACCCCAGCACTTTAATAACCATGTTTTGTTTTCCAGTTTAATGCCATGAAAAGAAACGAAACTGCAGTGAGAGAGAAGATGGTTCAACTGGCCAACCTGGTGGACAGTGTGAGTACAGACGCACGCACGCAGGTGTCGCAAGTTTCTTCTCCGCCGCTGTTGATTGGCTGACAGTCTGTCCGGTGTCTTGTTCCAGATCTACGTGCAGCTCAACATCCGGGTGGTGCTGGTCGGCCTGGAGATCTGGTCTTGAAGAACCCCATCAGCATCGAGGGAGGAGCCGGAGACGTTCTGACCAGATTCACGCAGTGGCGAGAGAAGGAGCTGGTTCCTCGACGGCGTCACGACTCGGCACAACTGATCCTGTGAGTAAAACAAACGCAACTTTTTTTTGGAAGTCGTTTTTTTTTTTCCTAGAAAGTCTAGAATTGTCACCATCCCTTTAAGTGGGCAAAAAAAAAAAACAAACCGACCCCTTGACAAGTGTTGTCGCCCCCTGCAGGAGACAGGGGTTTGGAGGGACGGCAGGGATGGCCTTTGTCTCCACCGTCTGCTCCAGGAGTCACGGCGGAGGAATCAACGCGGTACGTTCAATCCCAACATCTTGCTGCTGGGATCGAACGGAAAGTCGCTAACTCTCTCTCGCCCTCTTTCTCTCTCTCTCTCTCTCTGTCGTAGTTTACAAACAACAACCTCCCCTCATTTGCCTCCATTTTGGCCCACGAACTGGGCCACAACCTCGGTATGAACCACGACGACAGGCGCTCCTGCAGCTGTCCGGTGAACGCCTGCATCATGAACTCTGGAGCCACGTAAGACACACACAAACACACACAATGACACACACAGCTCATTAAAACAGTAAAGGATCCTTAATTAAACCTTATGTTCACTGTTGATGTGAACGGAGTGAGTTTGTCAGTGAGGTGAAAGTTTAAGGTTTGATTCTGGAGACTATTCCTCTCCCCCGTGATACGAACATCTGTCAACTTTAATGTTTAAATGAAACCTACAGAAATGTATCACTCTGAAGGATCAGGAACGTGATTGGACCAGATGGTGCCTTCACATCTCCACTGAGTCTTGTTTCTGTTTTCATAAGAAAACTGTGTTGTGTTGTGTTCTTGTGTAGTTCCTTCCTGGTGGAACCGTGTGTCGCTCTGCACCGGACGAGTGTGATCTGCCGGAGTACTGCAACGGATCGTCCCCCCTCTGCCAGAGTGACGTCTTTGTCCAGGTGACACCTGAAGCTCTCTACCTGCACATTATCAATTATGAATTATATATATATATATATATATATATATATATA